GGCGCTGCCTCTCAGCCTAACCTACCTTGAAAGGTTGTTATTTGGATTAAATGAGGAGGGGAGGGAACCATGCAAAGCACCTTGAGTTCAATTAATAATAAAGAATAATACAGTGGTACCTCTGGTTACGAACTTAATTCGCTCTGGAGGTCCGTTCTTAACCTGAAACCGTTCTTAACCTGAGGTACCACTTTAGCTAATGGGGCCTCCCGCTGCGACTGTGCCGCTGGCACACAATATCTATTCTCATCCTGAGGTAAAGTTCTTAACCCGAGGTACTACTTCTGGGTTAGCAGAGTCTGTAACCCGAGGTGTTTGTAACCTGAGTTGTTTGTAACCTGAGGTACTGTACATAAAATAATAAAAATAATAGTTGGGACTCTGTTATGAATGTTCCATCTTTCACAAATCTTGCCACTAGTCAGATGGAACCATCCTCCCTCTTCTCTCCCCCCATATGCTGTTCTGGGGGTTCTCCCAACACTCCCCCCCCCATTTCAGGGGTGTAACGGAGAAGAGGAAGCCCCATTGTGCAAGGAAAAGTCCTCCCATGGTGCTTTCACTGATGGTGCACACAAGGTGAATCTCGCCTAGTATCCACAGCCTTGCTCAGGGTAACTTCCTCATGTAAAGATGAGAGTCGAGGGAGCAAAAATGTTTTTGAACATTTGGTAATAACGTTTGTCAAAGAGCCAGCTGATGACTGCGTTCCTTTGGTATGCTCTCTTACGGCATTTGTTCTGATGACGCCCCTGGAGCCCTGGAACAATTTCACGAACACAAAACTTTCCAAGTACATTAAGAACCTGTCAGAGACTTCACCGTAACAGCTTTTCATCTTCAAGTACCCACCAGGGTTGCCTCCAGACTGTCACTGTTCTGCAGGAGCGGTTCAGTCACATGCCAGAAACTTAAGTTTGCACAATTAAAGCATATTACCCGCTGCCTTGTGGGACATCTTCAGCGGAAGAAAAGGCTAAGGAGTAAACTATCGTTGCCATATTTCAAGAGGTGAACAAAGTTCTTGAGCTTTTCGGGCCCCCCAAAAGAGGACGTGTCTGGGAATTCCCGAACGTATGGCAAGCCTAGAGTAAACGCCACACACAGCCTTTCTCAACCTGTGGGTCCCCAGATGTTGTTGAACTACAACTCCCATCACCCCTAGCTAGCAAGGCCAGAGCTCAGGGATGATGGGAGTTGTAGTCCAACATCTCAGGACCCACAGGCTGAGAACCGCTGCATCTGGAGTGGAGTCCCTAAGATGGTTGGATGGCGTCTTGAACACCTCCTTCCAGTAATCCCAGCTGCCAACTTGGTGCCAAACATATTGCTCTGCTTTCCTTTTGACAAGCAGAGACATCACCTTGCCAACAAAGGTCCGTATAGTTAAAGCTATGGTTTACCCAGTAGTGATGTATGGAAGTGAGAGCTGGACCATCAAAAAGGCTGATCGCCAAAGAATTGATGCTTTTGAATTATGGTGCTGGAGGAGACTCTTGAGAGTCCCATGGACTGCAAGAAGATCAAACCTCTCCATTCTGAAGGAAATCTGCCCTGAGTGCTCACTGGAAGGACAGATCATGAAGCTGAGGCTCCAATACTTTGGCCACCTCATGAGAAGAGAAGACTCCCTGGAAAAGACCCTGATGTTGGGAAAGATGGAGGGCACAAGGAGAAGGGGACGACAGAGGATGAGATGGTTGGATAGTGTTCTTGAGGCTACCAGCGTGAGTTTGACCAAACTGCGGGAGGCAGTGGAAGACAGGAGTGCCTGGCGTGCTCTGGTCCATGGGGTCACGAAGAGTCAAACACGACTAAACGACTAAACAACAACAACATCATATTGGTGAAACTTAGAAGGGGGTCGTTGTCTGGGCACCCCCAGGACCTACATGCACTGCCCAGGCTTGTACCCCGTTCAGGTCATTTCACTGCTGCAGATGCAGCAAAAACAATGCAGGAGACAGCAGTTATGAGCTACTGGTCTCTGCAGCCACTTCAGGCGCTGTGATTCTCCAGAGGTTGGACTTCACCGCCAGAGGCACACTCCATTGTCTCTCGAGACGACAACAGCAAAACTTTCATCCTCCGTGCAGTGGCGTAGCGTGGGTTGTCAGCACCTGGGGCAAGGCAAGTAATTTGCGCCCCCTAACCCGTGGATTTGCGCCCCCTAATCCGTGGATTTGCCCTAACCCCAGATGTTGCACCTGGTGCGGCCAGCCCCCCCTGCACCCCCCCACGCTACGCCACTGCCTCCGTGGAAAGCATCATAGCTCAGTGCTACGGCAACTGTGAATTGCACTGGGGGGCATGGAACTGTAAAAATTTAGAAGAGGAAAAGGACTCTTGGGTACCTCATACACAGATACCTCTGCCCCACAAAATATCGATGTAGATCTCTTTTTCCCAGCCTTTTCAATTAACCTCCCCTACTGCCGGAATTGCTGAAAAAGAAGCATTTGAGAGATTTAACACAGGAGTAGTGTGTTGACACTTTAATGTCTCTGCACAGGTTCTGGCTTGATTTTTGTTTTGGCTCTTAAGATTCTGTTTTCCCATAAGCTGTTATTGAAATGTGATTGAAATGCTAACATTACTCCATTGCAAAGAACTGTTTTTATGTTTTTGCATATTGTTGACATGTCCATGGACAAGAGAACATTAAAAAAAAAAATTGCTGTCATTGCTTCCATTCTGAACACGATTTCAGTTGCGGAAAAGTTCTTTACAGATTAAAGTCTAATCTAATCTGGGCTATCTGAGCAGTGTCTGTCAACGGCAGTAGCTCTGGCTGGGTCAGGGAACCATAGGATGATGTTTTGCAATATATATTTTACTGCCTTTTTATATAAAAAAGTGCAAACCCTCTAGAGAACTTTTATTATTGTTTGATATATATGAAATGCTGTGAATAAATAAATCTTCCTGTTCTTGTATTGGCAAGTGCAGATAATCAATGCTATGTTGGGGCCTCCCCAGCTGGAGAAGGATGCCCCCACACCAGCAAGAGGATTTATTTACCACCCCCTCCCAGTTCAGCTCAGATGCGGGTGGCGCTGTGGGTTAAACCACAGAGCCTAGGGCTTGCCGTTCGGAAAGTCAGCAGTTCAAATCCCCGCGACGGGGTGAGCTCCCGTTGCTCGGTCCCTGTTCCTGCCAACCTAGCAGTTTGAAAGTGCAAGTACAGTGGTGCCCCGCAAGACGAATGCCTCGCAAGACGAAAAACTCGCTAGACGAAAGGGTTTTCCGTTTTTTGAGTCGTTCCGCAAGACGGATTTCCCTATGGGCTTGCTTCGCAAGACGAAACGTCTTGCGAGTTCTTGCGAGTTTGTTTCCTTTTTCTTAAAGCCGCTAAGCCGTTAATAGCCGCTAAGCCGCTAATAGCCGTGCTTCGCAAGACGAAAAAACCACAAGACGAAGAGACTCGCGGAACGGATTAATTTCGTCTTGCGAGGCACCACTGTAGATAAATAGGTACCGCTCCGGCGGGAAGGTAAACGGCGTTTCTGTGCGATGCTCTGGTTCGCCAGAAGCGGCTTAGTCATGCTGGCCACATGACCTGGAAGCTGTACGCCGGCTCCCTCGGCCAACAAAGCGAGATGAGCGCCGCAACCCCAGAGTCAGCCACGACTGGACCTAATGGTCAGGAGTCCCTTTACCTTTTACCCAGTTCAGCTCAAGTTTGTTAACAAGCCCACAGACCTCCAGATTCTATCTGCCCCCCCCCCAATACCCAACTCCATATAGTGAGGAGAAAAGAGGCTCAACCGTACAAGTAGCTTATTGAACTTTTTCATTTTTAAAAATTGCTCCCATGGAGCTTTCTTCTCTCCTCTCCTCTTGTAAAGCCATCCAAGGTGATGGCCATCAGTGCCTCCTGTCCTGTGGCAGTGAGTTCCATAGTTTAACTATGTTCTGTGTGAAGGAGGACTTTCTTTTTATCTGTCCTGAATCTGCCAACATTCAGCTTCACTAAACATCCACAAGATGTAGCCGAGAAAAAAAACATTCCCCCCCCCCATATTTTCGAGTTAGAGGGCTCAAAGAAAGGTAGAGGTTCTTTCCCCCCAATCTCCACCTTTAAACGAATACAGTACAAGCACCGCTTGGCTAGAAGAAAAATTCTGTGAAAGCCAAAGTCTGGCTTACTATTTTGGGTATGCCCCAATAAATACCACTGTCTCAAGCAGAAGATCTCACTGAACTGCCAAAGAAGGAACTTTGCAACTGTACCAAAGGAAGCAACTTTTTCAGCAGGGGGCCGGTCTACTGTCCCTCACACCTTGGGGGGGGGGCGGACTATATTTTGGAGGGAGGAAATGAACAAATTCCTATGCCCCACAAATAACCCAGAGATGCATTTTAAATAAAAGGACACATTCTACTCATGTAAAAACACGCTGATTCCCGGACCGTCCACGGGCCAGATTTAGAAGGCGATTGGGCTGGATCCGGCCCCCGGGCCTTAGGTTGCCTACCCATGATCTACACGTATATCCACTTCCACGCATGGGCGTGGCCAAGTGGGGGGCAGGGAGGGGCAGATGCCCCCCTAAATCAATAAAATTCAGAAAAATACATAGCAAATTGAGGTTCTGCCCCCCCCAAAGACTCCAACAAAAATCCTGGCTACGCCCATTCTTCCACGGACCCTTCTATTTTCACCAATACGTAATTAAAATAAACCATATGAGGTCATTTAAAAGAAATTACAACGAACGGGGGAGAGATAGTCATGAACAGAAAGTTATTGTTTCCATTCTGCCACGCAGGATTCTCAGTTCATTTAGGACGCAATCCTACCGAGCGATAGGATCGCCCATCTCCTCCATTAAAGTGAGGGCAAAATTGTAAGGGCGGAAACAGCTTCATCCAGCCGCCGCTGCCATGGCTACGGAAAGCGACGAGCGACCATTCCCAGCCGGCGCCGGAGCGTTCCCAAGCGGTTGCCAAGGGCAACAGGCGACGCCTTTTCCTCCCCGCTCCCTCCCCACTGTGAGCGTTCCAGCTGGGGCTGAGAAGGCGCTCAAGTTCTAGATGGGGGGAAGGCCTTGAAAGCGACGTCGGGGGGGGGTTGTTCCGGGGTGGGGGAGGGATTGTGGGGTCCGGGAGGAGGGTTAGGGTCTTTGAAGGGTGTGCTTCACTTCATGAAACCGCCCTCTCTGGGACTGAGCTTGGTTGTAAATAAACCACTCAGTAAGAAGGGTCGTCCCAGTTAGGGCTTTCTGAAAGAGAGGAGGGGGCTGGGAAAGAAGTCTCAAGTTCAGGGGGGATCTTTATAGTAAAGAGGGGGTGATGCCAGCTGGCGACTGGCGTTGGGAATCTCAAACAGGAAATGGTCGAGAAGTCTTAGGGACTAGAATCTTGTCCTGTTTTTAAAAGGTGGGGTGTATTGGGGCCTCGAGTTAGCACTCTAGAAAAAAAGGGGGAATCAGTCGGGTTGGTTGGTAGGGAAAACTTAGGGGTGAGAATCTATTTAAAAAGAAAAGAGGATAATTTGAGCTGAGATCTGGTTGTCTTTAGCAGTAGGAAGATTGATCAGTAGGGCAGTAGAGTGGCCTCAGGAAGGTCTGGATTTGTGTTGGGGTGAGGCTACACCCACCCACCCCAGGGCCTGTGTTTAGCAACTTCTTAAGAGAAATGATGAGCCGAGTGGTTTGAGACTGGTGGCAGTTCTTAGTTGGATCTGAAGGGGAATCGTGCAGCCTTGCTGGCATTTTAATTGTGGGCGGTTGCTGTCAGTGAGCCCTGGACAAAGACGAGGCTGTCAGATCTGCCTTGCCTTTTCAATTAGTTACCTTTCTTTGAGTTCCCAAGGCACGGAGAGGTTTATACCTGAGTTCCTTGCAGCAGTCTGACTTGCTTAGTGGAATCATGGTCCTAGTTTGATGTGAATCGAAAGTGGGGGTTGTGTGTTTGTTGTTATTTCCTACTTGTGAGAGGCTAACCCCCCCCCCCAAATCCGCAGCCTTTATCTTTCGAAGCTGCATTTTATCCTTCCAGGTGCTGTTTGTGGTGTGAGGTACGAGTGAGAAAGGGTACCGTTATAGTAACCGAAACGAAGGTTCAGAGGCCCGGTTAAAGGAGTGGTTTTTCCTAGGAAGCGAGGTGGCTCTACAACACCGTCAATATGCCTATGCACCCAAAGTCAGACCCCCGTTACTTTGTCATGATCCGGCCTCTGCCCATCCCCAGCCAGAAAGGCCTCAAGGTCCAAGCTCGAAGCAACACCATCTACAACTGCTGGGATGTCACGAGAGAGCAGGTCTTCCGGGAGAACTACCATCGGAGAATCAAACAGCTCACGCAACAAGGCTACTTTACTCCCAGCTGGAAGCCCTATCAAGATTTTGGGGACCCTCTTTACCTCGATCCGAGGAAACTCACCCTCTATGGTCTTGGACAGCTCCCACTGGTAAGTACAGTGCTCTCTTAGTATGTTCTTTGCTTGTGATATTAAAAAGTAGGTGGTGGACCTCATTAAGCCATAGAAACCGCACACTGAGGTCCAGCTCTGAGGGCCTTCTGGCGGTTCACTCACTGCAAGATGTGATGTTACAGGGAACGAGGCAGAGGGCCTTCTTGGTGGTGGCGCCCACCCATCAGATTTCAAGGAAATAAACAACTACCTGACTTTTAGAAGACATCTGAAAGCAGCCCTCTTTAGGGAAGCTTTTTTAATAATTGATGTTTTATTCTGTCTTTAATCTGTTGGGAGCTGCCCAGAGTGACTGGGGAAACCCAAAATAGCAGTCAACTGCAAAGGGGATTCAGATATTTAATTTGGCACATTTTACTAGAGAATCTTCTGCTATTCTATTTTATGCAACAAACAATCTTAGTAGTTGTGATGGTGCTTTATATTGTATGTGTGGTGCCTGATGATTTTTATGGTTATTGCTGTTTTTCTTTTTGTTATTTTTCCAAATGATGACATGGCCTATGGCTAGCACAATAAAAGCCGATGATAATGATGACTGGGGAAACCCAGCCGGATGGGCGGGGTATAAATAATAAATTATTATAATATTATTATTACATGTGAGACATGATTATTACAGCAGGTAGCACTGGTTGCCAGGTTCTGAATCCTGGGCAAAGAGACCTGAAGAGGCCCCTGGGCCTGAGTTTTAAAGGTTTATCTAAATGGCTTTCAAGTTTAACTAAAGAGCTACCTTCGCCCCTGTGATCTTGCTTCCACTAAGATAAGCTAGGGGTGTGTGTGAGGGGGGAGGCTTTTTGGTGGTGGCTCCACTGCTGCGGAATTCCCTTCCAACCTAACTGCACATGTCCTCAAACAGGCCTTCCAAAATGTACCTGTTCCAGGCTGCCTTTCGGTAACAGTGCTTTTGTGTTGCTGCTTTCTGAGCCTCTTAGGATTTGTTAATGTACCGTAATATTTCCCATCTGAATAAAGGTGCCTCCTTGTGAGGGCTGCACGCAAAAAGGTGGCCGATAAATACTTGAATACCCACAACAACAGTGGAAGGCCAATTAAAAGAGTGCTATAAAAGCAAATAAAGATGAAATTTGGGGAATCTGTATAGATAAAAACAGGGTCTGATTTTACATGGCGGGGAAATCCTGGGCTTAAAAAATACCTCTTTACAAGGCACCCGAAGCAATTGATGGTTGCTCCTTCATATATAGATACCAGGAACCTCTCTTTCTGGCTGATTAATGGAACAGGACGATTTGTGCCCTTCAAAGAGCCTGCGTTGTCGGGTTCAGAAACTCAGGTGAGAGTTTGGGGTATGACACCCTCAGTGCTGGCCTAGCCCCAACATTTCCCCTCCATGTTTAACTCTGTTCTTAGAGCACAGCGCCTCTAGCCTACTCTTGAAAGTGCTTGCTGAATGCAGTCGGTTCTCGCCCCCCTCTCTTCCGCATCTGTCCCCAAATGGCCCAGCAGAGCCCTGTTAGTATTCATTTAAGGACTGTGAAATGACCCATTTTGGTTTTAGAATCCCGGCTTCTGCTCTCCAGAGATGGGCGTGCATTAGGCAGGCAGCTCTGATGCATTGAAAATCAAGGAACGTTGCGTCCCCAGACAGGCTTTTTGATTACCTGAGTGTTCCAAGCTCTGTGTTAAAAGGTCTGGTTTGATTCCTTAGTGAGCCGGCACAGGGGGATATTAGTCCCCTTTTTATCCGTTCAGAGAGTTAATTGCCATGGCAAGCTTGTCTGCGATACCCAGGAGCCGGCTTGTTGACTTCTTCCAAGTAAAGAAAGGTGACTTTTTCCTCTCTCTCTCTCTCTCTCTCTTTTTCTTTTTTGGACACACTCAAAACATTTCTGTTCTTTTCAATTTGGAGCATCATGGATGCTTCAAGCCTGCTCTGCGCTTGTAATCAGACCCCGCTGAGTAATTGTGTGCTATACAGAAAGAAGATGGGTAATGAGATGGGTAACTACATCTATCCAGGAAGAAAATGGAGCCATTTTTGTTGACTGGCGTAATTTCTGCACCTGTAGTTAGATCCCTCAGTTGGCAGGCTTTGAATTAAGTGGGGGCTGAGGGGTCAGCAGCCATGGCTCATCCTGCATGCGCTAAGAGGACAAAGGGCTCTTTAGGACAAATGGCTCTTTAACCTACTCTTTCTTGGTCAGAACAGCAATACAGTGGTGCCTCGCAAGACGAAATTAATCCGTTCCGCGAGTCTCTTCGTCTTGCGGTTTTTTCGTCTTGCGAAGCACGGCTATTAGCTGCTATTAGCGGCTTAGCGGCTTAGCGGCTATTAACGGCTTAGCGGCTTAGCGGCTTTAAGAAAAAGGAAACAAACTCGCAAGAACTCGCAAGACGTTTCGTCTTGCGAAGCAAGCCCATAGGGAAATTCGTCTTGCGGAACGACTCAAAAAATGGAAAACCCTTTCGTCTAGCGAGTTTTTCGTCTTGCGAGGCATTCGTCTTGCGGGGCACCACTGTACAGTTGTACCTTGGAAGTTGAACAGAATCCGTTTCAGAAGTCAGTTTGACTTCCAAAACGTTCAAAAACCAAAGCACAGCTTCTGATTGGCTGCAGGAAGCGCCTGCAGCCAATCAGAAGCCACAGAAGCCCCGTCGGACGTAGGCTTGCAAAAATAGTTCACAAAGTGGAACAGTCACTTCCAGGTTTGTGGCGTTTAGGAGCCAAAACGGGAACTAAGCTGTTTGACTTCCAAGGAACGACTTTAGAAGCTCTGGCTGACATTTTATTGCATGCTGTTTCATTTATTTATTTAAAGGATTTATATACTGATGAATCTTCAAAGCCTCTAATCGGTTTGCACAATATATGCATTAAAATTAACAGTCAGAGCAGATATTATTATTAGGAAAGATCTTGAAAATAAAACTGCTGAGCCTCTGAGAATTCTTGGAGAACAGGTAAGGTCCCTGCAAACTGGAGGCATGCAAATGTTGTCCCCATCTTTCAAAAGGGGGAGAAGACTCAACCACATGATTTCGATATCAGGAAAGGTCCTAGAACAGATAATTAAATATTCCACCTTTGAGCATTTTGAGAAGGATGCTGTGATGACTAAGACTCAGCATGGATTTCTCAAAAACGAGTCATGCCAGACCAATCTCATTTCTTTTTCTTTTTTTGATAGAGTTACAGCTTTGGTGGATCAGGGGGATGCTATAGGCACAGTGTATCTTGATTTCAGTTGGAATTAACAGGTACTTGTTGAAAAGAAGTAAAAAAGGGGGGGCTAGTAAGGGGAGGAAGGCTAGTAATTTTTGTATGCCCATTTGCAAGGCTGAGTTTAGCTGCCAGAGTGTCTGGGAGATTCAATTTGGCTAGGGTGCCAAGGAGAATGATTTGGACCCCTAGGGTCGTCTAGGGTGAACTTCATTTCCCAGTATATTCTGGGTCGGAGAGCAAGTTTAAGTTGGCGTGGTGCAGGTACCGTATGCTCAAAGGGTTGTCTTCAGCAGCATCAAACCCACAATCAGAGGCATACAGAGATCATTATATTCCCATATGTTTCAATCTCTGTCAAAGGCCGCTTGTTATGTCTCCCAGACTTTAAGACCGGGAGAGAGTAATGTCTGAAGTTGTTGACAACTGAACCATCCCCGGGATCAAGGCTGTTTTGGCTTTTCACTGCACAGCTGGCACACACACTTCCCTAACACTTGGCCATTTGCTCTGTGTAATTAAAGCCCGCCGTTGTCTGTGGGCAAAGTTCAGAAGTGGCCTGGAAAAATGAGCTCATTTTTAAACCATCATCAGAGCTATTTCTAGAGGACGGCTTTGTCCTTCGGTGTCATCAAGCAGCCAGCCATAGCAGTTAGCCATGACAGTTATCTATGACAAACGAGAAATGGGGGACTCCTTAGCCAAGGGTATGTAACTCACGCCTTGGGTCTGTTTGTTTTCCTGACCATTTCCAATGGCTTCCCGATATTTTCTGCCAAATGACCTCTGGCTCGCTTTTGTCATGCTGCCGGCATGATGGCTTTGTGAATCAGCCTTTCCGAGTGGCCCCTTAATGCTGATGGGTTAGGCTCAGATTTAATGTACACTTGCATTTTCCGATGTGGTTTTTTCCCCTGCCTGTTCAGCGCAGCTGCTAAGCTTGCCCCACGACAAAATATTTGAAGTCTACTGTGGCGCACATGACAAGTTTTCCAACTCTACAATTCTATGACTCTAGGGTGGTTGTGAGAATAAAATGGAGACAGGTGGGATATCTGTGTATGCCACCTTGAGCTCTTCGGGGGAAAGTTGGGATAGAAATGTTGTTATTACTGTTGGTTTTCAGCTGTGGGAAAATGATCTTTTGCATTGGCGTGGAGCCAAAATGCAGCCAAGTGTGTGTTTTTCAAAGGAGAGAGATCTTGTGGAGCGCTTTCCCTTAAGTGATCCAAATCCGTTCCTTTCCCAGGACCAGTTCAGGGTACAAAGCAAAAAAGTGCATGTCTGCTGCATGCCAGTCATTTAGTAAATTCTCGTTCTTGCTTCATCCCAGGCCCGCAGTCACCACAGCTGATACACAAGAGCACCAGTCACACAGCCGAGGGGTAAGGAGTCCCCAAGGCTCTGTCTGTTTCAGACAGAACGTCTTGCGTTCAGAAAGCAATTTCGAGGTAGAGAATTTAGGTCCTTAAAGATAAGGACTTCCGCTCAGGAGAAAATTGGTAGTCGAGGCAGGTGAGAGAATATGCAGAGCGACAGGCTCCATCTGCGTGGTTCCAGTCACAAGTTTGGCAGCTGCATTTTGAACCAGCTAAAGTTCCTCGACGCTCTTCTGCAAAGGTAGCCCTACGTGAACTTTACTGAAGCACAAGTGGATGTAGCCCCAGGGTGGACTATGATCATGGGACCAGGTAGGGTGGTGTCAGGCGTCAGGGAATCCTACCCCCTCCCCACCTCCCCACCTACCCACGGCCAGCTACCAGAGATAGAAAGACAGGGAAAGCTCCTT